CTCTATCGCTGGCTTCGGTTTTTACAAAACACCTTACGAACTAGTCTACCCAAAGCGAAAAGTCATATTAATAATAGTTTGATTTGTACAGCATATTGTCTGGTAAAAAGATGATGAGAATGATAGGATGTTTTCCTTGGATGTGGTGTCTTGTTTACGAACGTTCACTCTGGATCTTGCGATTGACGGTTTAAAAGATAGATGGGATCCACATGGAATAAATACTAAATACCGAAAAACGAATTTTGGGGGGTATAAAATTCATATTGACTTCTACATATTTTACATTTGATGACATAATTATAAACAGACGTTTGGGACCCCTATGGGTCACCGTTATCACCAATTATTGCAGACCTGGTTATGCAAGAATTGAGGATACAGTTCTCAAAGCGTTGAATTTGAATGTTTGTTTTATTTTCGTTATGTGGGATGACATAATAGTGGCCACCTCTATGACTAATATGACTCAGATTGTGAATAATTTAACAACTATCATGAAAGACTTAAATTCACGGTCGAACAAGAGGTTAACCATAGCTTGAATTTCTTAGATTATCACTTAAAATTATTAATAACAAATATATATAGACTGGTATCAAAAAGAAACTTCTCAGGAAGGACGTTATCATTTTATTCAAACCACCCACTATGCCACAAAATAGGAATAATATATAACCTTGTAGACAGATGTCTATTGCTATCCACATCCACTATTTTTTAATAAAAATTTGGAGTTAATATTAATATACTCAGAAGCAATGGTTTACCCTCTGATCTGATTTTTAACAAAATTAATCATCGGATAGAACACATCATATCTAAGGGAGCATTATAGAGAGACAGGCCAACATAGAAAGAACAAAAAGTATAAGAAATGACTCGGTCAATAAAAAATTCTTTGTCATTCCGTATATAGATGGGATCTCAGAAATGATTGTTCCTCGGTAAAAAAAAAAATGTATGGTAGGGTATAGATGTCTCACAAACTGGACAAATATATTAAAGCGCAGAAAGATAAAACTAAACATCCATGCAATTCGAATGTGTTTATAAGATCAGTTGCAATAATTGTAATGCATCTTATGTAGGCCAAACAAAGAGGCAATTGCAGACGCGAATAAAAGAACATAAAAAATAATATTAGGTTGGACTCAACGAACATTCAGTAATTTCTGAACACATAATAAATGAACATCATACTTTTAATTGGGACAATGTTAAGATCATGGACAACGAAAATAATTATTATAAAAGACTCATTTCTGAGATGCTACATATCAAGGAACAAAAAAATGGACTAAATTTAAACAAAGATACTGAGTTACTTAGCGAGTCGTATTTTGATATTTTGGATATATTAGCGAACAAGAAATAATAATAGGACAAATAGGACATTAACGAGTAAAACATAGATATTAGATCATATATAAACACGCACGCTCTCCGATCAAGTAGAGTTTAAAATGAGCTGTCTTCTGTATTGTTGGTTTGTTATGTGTCATCCTTAATACTGTTAATAAGTAGCAAAATGTCAAGAAGAACGATGATAGGTAAGCATACTACCAATTGTAGGGGATACATATTATAATTTGGACATGCGTTGATCGGTAATTTTTTATAATCGCAGCGCCTACGGAACGGGTTAATTTCTCGCATATTAACGATGAAACTATCCGAGATCTGAACAAAATCAGGATCATATCGAGGCGAACATTGTTGGACAGGACGGATTGAAACACGCGTTAATTACTCCAAAAACTCTTGATTATGAATAACTATATTAAATTTCGATATTATGTGAATTGTAAGAATTTATATTTCAATAATTATCTGAAGAAGCCGCGTGCGGTCGAAACGTTTTATAGAATGATTGTAATTTGCGTTAGTTTTAATATAATGACTGTAGTTTTATAATTTATAATGTATAAATGGTAGTTGACTGAACATCTCGATATTCAGCTCGAAAGTTGGCCTATATTTATCACTTTGTTTTCAATATACGAGCGACAATTGTTATAATTTATTTTTATTATTTATGTCTCACCGTAATTTTGTCGTAAAGTGTCAAAATGAACTTCCAGAAGTCGATTGCGAGGATGACATTTCTTACTGAAAGAAATATATATTACAATGTAACAAAATAAGATATAAAAACTGTTTGATTTGATATGGATTTTTACTGATTTTAATTAACTATTTCTAATAATATGCATTGACAAATTACTTTAAAAGAACATATTAAATTTAAAGACTGATTATATATATTTTTATGCTTGTATATGATCAACACTAATTGTTTTTTAAAAATTTATAGTGTAGAAATTAATTATGAGATAAATATTTCATAATTAACTTTGTTCGCAAAAATTATTTCTTAAAAAATGTTACAGTGAAATGAATTATTAATTACTTTTTGCAGCCTTTCGATTCATCAAACAATGTTTTCACATTTTCGAGCCATCTCTCGAGTACGTTTGACTTTGGTTTTGTACATTTTGCTTTTACTTTGCGATGCAGTAGAATTGCTCAAAGAATTTCTATATGAAATCGGTCTCGGATCTTTCCTTTGTTCTTGTATTTATGAACGCTATCAACGATAAAGACAATATTTAGCAAGCATGTGCATACACATAGCGCGAAGTTAAACGCATAGTCCTATCATAAAACACAGCATTTCATGAAGATCTTACTCACAACATTTATAAAGAATCCGATTGCAATCTAATTCTTGGATTTTACGAAGTAATCAGAATCTTTACACTATGCTGTGTTTCATGGCAAATTTACAAGACATACACGCTAAAATTTAAGAAATTCTATTACATGCAATATTCTGTAATTAAGCATATAAAAAATTTTTACAGCGAACTTATGTTTCTTACGTCAATTTTTCCTTATTTGCAATACATTTTAGATCACGACATTGTCTTGGCATTTTTTAGATTTACCATTCAATTGAAACTGGCATTTTTTTTAATCGATAATTGCTGTAATTAATAAATTGCTGTATACAATAATTAGTTAAATAATATCATTAATTGATTCATAAAATATATGTCACCTGTACAAACACTGCATATTCTTAATTCTAATCATCTTTTCTCTTTTTGCAGGAAGAATTAATCAATCCAATAACATTAATTTACATTATTCTTCCATCTGCGAATTACGTTTCAAAGTTGCATTTGATCATAGAAACTTATTCAATTTATGTCGAATTAAATTTTAACCTGTATGCACATAACGTAGAGAGGAGGCACGACATCTTCGATTGCATCTAACTTCAATTAGAGATTTTCTCATTATTTTCTCTTTTGATACATTTCTTTTAACAGAGAGGTGTTACTTTTTCTTTAATAACGAAAAATTCTTTTTGCTCTTTGCTTTTAAATTTTATCGATAATAATAGAAATTATTATCATTTTTGCATTTTTCATCGATCACACGAATAAATTAGATTTTTGCACATCTTCGATTGAATCTACTTCAATAGAGATTTCTAGCTTATTATTTCTCTTTTGATATTTTTTAACAGAGGTGTACTATTTTTCTTTAATAACGAACAAATTCCGCTTTTAATTTGATCGATAATAATGGAAATTATGATTTTTTTACATTTTTCATCGATTTTTCTTAAATTAGATTTCGCGAAAATGACACGCGGTTTTGCACGGATTCGCGATTACGCTGTCATTCGCGAGCACGTGGTGCAACCGACAGCGGGATTATCGACGTCAGACTGGCGGCCTTGCCATCGGCAATTATTCACCGGAATATCTTAGCAGCCCTGCCCTCCGGCAGACTCCATATATTTTCCCTATCGCGAGCAATAAAGCTTATCCCTCGCCCTTTTTCGAAACGCGCAAAATGTCGCGCGTTGTCCATCTCTATATATATTTTCATTTGTTCTGACAACGAAAAATATATATGAAAGAGAATGAATGACAGTTTCAATTCTCCTTTCGGGATCCTCGAATGATGCTCTGATGAATCGCATCCCTTTGTACTTTATCCCTTCCACTCGTGTCTGTCGCCCTTCGCAGAGGCAACCCGGTTCGAAACGGGCGGACGGCTGAATTAGTTCGGATTTTGACGCTACGCGGCGCAAGCGCGTGAGAGTTCTCGCAGTCGAAATACCTCGATCGGACTATAAAAGAGCGCGAGCAACGACTGAAAGCATACTTACCTGGCGTAGAGGCTACCGTGATCAACAAGGCGGTTCCTCCAGGGCGAGGCTTCCATTGCACTACGGTTGAGCTGACCCTTGCGAATATCCCTAATGTGGATATCTCGGACGTATAATTTGTTAGTCGGGACTGCGTTCGCGCTATCCCGGATAAGAGAATTCCAAAAATAATTCTTAGCTAGTCTACTCAATAAAGAGTTAGACGAAAAATTGTTAGAAAATCGAGGATTTTCTTTCACACAAATTTAGTCTCTTCGACATATAAGATAGAGTTTCAAACGCGACTGGTGTACCCTTTATCATTTTAAGAGATGACTGAGCAGAGGAGGTTTTCAACATTTTATGAATCAAATAAATGAGAAAATAAATGTTTATTATTAAATTTTAATCGCAAGTCGTCGCGAACAAAGCGACAAAAATTTAAATTTAAAGTCATTTAATATTCTTCTAACTCATATAAAATATTTATGTGTCTGTTACAGTGTTGAACAACAACGTGAATAACGAGCTCACGAAAATTTCCGAACTATTTTAGAAGCACAGACAGTGTCTGAACGCGAGATGACAGCTGACTTCTGCGCTTGAACTCGCACAGGATGGGAGAATAATTTTTAATTGAACGAAATTTTTAAATTAATGGTTGAAACGAGCTCGGAGGAAATCGAATTTAACACTTGCCGAGGAGTGGATATCGAGCGATAATCAAGATGATACATACGCAGATGTACGTGCATGTATTCACGCCTTGCATTGAGCCTTAAGTGCATCATCAGCCTTCAGTATGTAACTCCATTTCCTGAGTTTCTGATGATACGAAAGAGATATCGCGAATAAATAACATTTAATTTAAATCTTGATGCTCGATCGTAATATTCGAATAATTTATCTGAATCCAATTTTTTTATTAACATATGTGATATTTTTTCTTAAGAGTACATAAATATAACAGTAATTATGAAAATAAATTTTCTCAGATTACCAAAATTATTCACTATGTTCTCTTTATTTAAATATTTGGTCTCTATCGTAATATTCCAATAATATATCTGAATCAATATTTTTTTTATTAACTAGTAATATTTTTTCCTAAGAGCACAAGTGTAACACATAGTATTATGAAACAAAATTTATGGTTAATTATCAAATGATTTTTCTCTGAGATTAACAAAATTATTCGCTGTTTTATTTTAGATTATGAATTAAAATTTAAATTATAGGTTTATATCTCACAGTTTTACATCATAACTTTTAAAGTTAAGAAAATATTTAGTAATAATTTATAATGCAAGAGCACACGTTTTATATCACAGTTTTACATTACATTATAACTTTTGAAGTTCAGAAAATATTTAATAATAATTTACAATGCAGGAGTTTAAAGCTATTTAGTAAAACTTTGATAAAGGAAGTCTGCGATGAGTCCACAGTTTTAACGAGTAAATTTTTATTAAATAAGAATCTTAAAAAGAACATGCAGTTATTAGCGTTGAAAGAATCAGAATCCTCTTTTTATCGAAGTATCGCTTGCTTTGGTATGTCTGTCTTACGCACGCAAAGAGGATCGTCCTCTCGTTCGACATTGCATAATATTTCACTTTTTTCCCGCAATAAGTACAGTCGAGAACAGCAGACGGGGATAATTGATGCTTGAGCGGATTCGCGTTCGTGATATCTCGGTACTGCTAAATGCAATTCCTAGCGTGTCTACGGTCTCGCGAATCTGCAAGGCAAACTGCACTCGCGGAAGCGAAGAAGCACCCAGGGATTTATTTTCATCGGCATTTATGACGCAGAAAATTCCCTCCGCGATTTGCCGCATCGAGAATTGTCTTATCGAAACGATATGTATGATAGAAGTGTCCTGGGAGAAGAGATGACACGAGCTGACACGATCGTTCGTCACTAATTTCAATCGAAATTTTGACATATGGATTCATACACAGTTGAAAAATTTATGTTAAACAGATATCACATGTCCCCAAACGATCCACAGAAATATTTTAACACCCAAAATAAATGCAAACTTTAAATAATTTTAAATAAATTTTGTGTAAAATTAACATGTTTTAATGTAAAAATTAATTAAAAATATGTCAATTTAGATTTTATCATCCCCACTTATATTATAAAATAAAAAAAATCAACGTTTTATTCTGTAAATTTTAACAGATGAATCTTGTCACTAATAAAAACAGAACATATTTATTGTGTAAAAATTAAAAATGCATAAAAATTAAAGATGCATATTGTGTTATTTTTCAATTGTTTCAACAATTTAAGTTATATAAGCAATATGTTAAATTAACACATGAAAGTGTTAAATATTTAACACAAAAATTTTACGCGAAAATCGTTTAAACCAGAAAACACAAATTTTCCTACTGTGTATTCATATATATTTTACAGTATAAATTGCATTATTTAGTTACATATAATAATTGCTAATTTTTTTTCGTTCAATATAGGTTGACTTTCCGATTTTAAATTAATCACGAGAAATTGTTCGAGAATTAATTTCCTCTGGGAATGAGTCGGGTATATTAATATAACATAAATCGCGAAATTGTATTTACATATTTTTTGGAGGACCAGTTCATATTAATTCTGTACGTATATCCGTTTTTCAACGTTACTTCGGAAATCGATATTTCATTATAGCAACGTTCCCCATCGAAAAGGGCATTGACTGGTCCATTCACCGTTCATCGGACAAAAAGAGATTAATCCACTCGAAAATACGGGAAGCACTCGTGCCTAAAAGCACTTGTGAATTGGTATTGCGGCTCAATTATATGAAAGAAACGTGGTGCCAATTAATGAGAGACGAAGCGTGGGCCGAGATGAAGGGAAAAGAAGACACACTGACACAAGAATGAAACGATGTCGTTCAACTTGCTTCTTATGTTGGAGTATTTTTGCCGATAAATCAATTACATTGAATAAAGTGTCCGGGAAAACGCGTGACGTACATTAATTGATGAAAAAAAAAACGATATACCATATATCCTGCAATTTTAGAAGTAAAGTGTTCACACACATCGAAATAAAAATATCTTCCCTTTCCAAAAATATTGGAGAGAATACAATCCGAAGACACACATATCTACGTATTAATGTGTATCATTCTTATGTTGTTTCAGGTTCTGACAGTTTAATGTGTTGAGAATAACGATAAGTTCCCGTTCTCTTGATGAAGCACCGCTTTGTTCGCGATGTTATATCAATATTTGGACACTTTGCTATTTCGAGGATGCAATTGCAAACTCTTCAACACACATTTACATTCCTGCAGGGTAAGTCATATCAAAGCATACATTTTGATCACACAGTTAAGAATCATATATTTTATAAACTGTAAATGTAATTTTTATTTATTTTATATTTTTATTTTTTATTTTGGACAATAATATATTCAATTATTGGTTTATTTATATTATAATATTGCGGAATTTGATAATATTTTTTTTTATTTGTCAAAGATTTTATTTATTTCATCAGAAATTTTGTCAAACTTATTTTTACATTCTAATCATATTCCATAGAGTCTATTAATTAAATTTCGATTTAATTTCACTTTATATTTCTATTAAAACACACATCGAATTTGATCTGATGAAAATTGGAAAATGCTAAGTCATGAATTTTCATGGCCCATCGCAGCCAATTATAACTTTCTATCGTTACGCGATTACGACGACTTTTAATTACGTTTACATAAGGAAAAGCGATACTCGTCTTGAAGCCGCGACGTCGGGCAACGACCTTCGACATTGACCGAGGTCGTTTCACCTCCGCAGCGAAGCCAGAGCTCATTCGTACGACGCGTCGTTTTTCAAAGACGCATTTTGCTTTTTTCCTCACACGTTACCAACTTCGCTCTCGCGCTTTTCGTGAAAACGACCCTTTGCAATCTAAAACTTTCCCCTTCGTACTAAAAAAACATGTGGTGGAAAGATCGGTTTCTTTACCCTCATCACCGTTGCTTGGTTTTTCTTCGGCTTCTGTCTTCTTTCATCAGGGATGATCATGTTTTATGGATGCACTTTTACGGCCGCTTGCTTCCCTAAATATTTTTATTCGTCGTTATTTATTTAATTGGAATTTCCAGAAGTTTTGTTAATGTGTACAAACAGTTATTTTCTATTATTGCAACAATTATTCCGACAATCGTGTCTCTCAGTGATTTACGCAGTATATTAATTTATTAAATAATAATTATAAAAAGAATTTTTTTTCTTAAAACAAATTATTATAAAATTTATACAAATTGACGACACTCGTATAATTAAGTATATAGCAAAAATTACACAATATTTTTTAAAAACAATACAAAATAATCGAAATTTTTTCTTTTGTTCTCTTGCAAATATTTTTTACTTGCTGCACAATAATAACGAAAAAAAAACTATATACAAAACCGATGAAGCCATTCTTCTGGTTCATTCAGTGCACTAAAATTTGCAATCATTGCGACACAAATGGATATGCAAACGAAAGACTGGATTAGATTCAGTCATCTGTGGAAGCCGACTGTTAATTATTCCGGAAGTTGAGCGTTCGATGAGGCAGTTAAAGGCGATCTTGTTGGTAGAGAAACATGGGATGTAGGTCATAGAAGTTGCACGAGGAAAGTGGCCCGCGATTTTAATTTAAACCGTTGGTTCATACATTCAAGATAGGATGAAAAAAAATATCGTACTGACTTATAGCGTGCATAATAATTTAAATAAAACCATCTAGTCCCTCCCTCGTACATAAAACAAAAAAGGATATAAATCAAATAGCCATATCACATAATGTAAAATCATGCCTAGCAGTGAATATGAAAATATTATTCGCATAAATATTTTACAGGTAAGAATATGAACATTTTTCTTGATTAATTAACATAAATTATATATTCTTATTTTTTTCTAGAAATTACACGTATACTTATTAAGAATACGCTCCTTAACATATTTTCACATGTAGCTTTAATAAAATACGTTTCCAGATATAATGTATATTGCATAGGATAAGATTTCTAGTCTCTTGTCATCGTGAATAATAATATACACTGATAAGAACATAAGGCATTTTGTGAATGCGATAGTGTGCAGTGTGCAAAGAAGGATGACGCTAAGAAGTGATAATTAGAAGTGTTACTCTCA